ATCCACGACACAGCCCACGGCCTCACCCAACTCGAATCCTTCTCCATTGCAGGATGTGGGTATCAAGCTTTCCTCTGGGAAGCAAAGGCCAGGTCCATCATGGTGGTGGCTGTGTACTTCAAAACAAACGAAACCATCCAGGGCACCACCAACTCCCAGATCCTGGCCCGCATCTTGGCCTTGATCCAGGCCACAAACAGACAGTTCATCCTGGTCGGAGACTGGAACAACCATCCTGAGCACTTCCAGAGCACGGTGCTCAGTTCCAAGTTCCACTGGCAAATCCTGGCACCAGACGCAACCCTGCTCAACGGCAACACGGTGGACTATGCCCTCATTGAAGAGAAGCTGGCGGGCTGCACCTCAATGACCACCGAGTGGGCCATCCCATGGCGGCCTCACTGTCTGGTCACATATGCCCTTGAACTCGAGGACGATTTCAGGCGCTACCACCAGCTCCGGAGTTTCCCGCCACTCCCCAACATCCCGGACATTGGGTTCCGTGCCTGGAGCACTTATGTCACACAGGTAACCGACCTGGTGCTCTATGACAGCCCACCCAACGCAGGAGCCCGAGGCCTGGCGGATTGGGTCTCAATCACAGAACAATACCTGCTCCAGCAACACCCTTGGGCGCCACAGGGCAGAGCAGCCAACCTCACCACCCAGCACCAACCACTGGTTCCAACCAAGGCTGGAGGGATCTGGAAGAAAGGCAAGGCTGCCTACTGGGAGCAAATCCAAGCCCGCCTGCACCTCATCGAGAACCAACCCACCAAAGCACCGGGCGCAACCAAGGGGCTAAAACTGGCGCTCCAACAGGTGCAACACCACTGGCTGGGAGAACAAACATGGGCACAGTTTCTGGACACCACACAACACTGGCTCCAGTACAAGGATGAGAGAACTTTCGACCTGATGAAGCAAACCGTGCAACACCAGCTCGAAACAGCCCAACAGCAAAGCCGAGAAGAATCCTGCCTCCAATACGCAGAATGGATCAAACACGGAGAAGCCAAGGGCTTACGGGGACTCTTCCGGTCTCTCAAAGCCAGTGAACTGTCCTGGCAACGACCATACAGAAACATCCCCATGGCCGACCGTATGAGACATCGCATGCACGCCTGGCACAACCTATGGAAGCCAACAAAAGATGGCCAACCAATGACCAGACTGCCTTTGCAAGACGCAGCAAAACAACAAGCAGCGCAACTCCCACCGCTCACCTATGAACAATTGGGACGCACATTGAAGCACCTGCCAGACAAAGCATGTGGTCCAGATGCAATCACCACCCAGCTGCTCCGCACAGCACCAAAGCAGGCACTGCAACCCCTGCTGAGCCTTCTGCAAACAATGGAGGCTAACGCGGAACTTCCCACCCAGCTCACTTTGAGTCTGGTAGTGATGTTGGCCAAGAATGAGAAGGTGGAGCGACCAATCACCTTAACCAGTGTGCTTTACCGCGTATGGTGCAAGATGAGAAAGCCACTGATGGACGCATGGCAACACAACCTACCACCAGCCATGGACTATGACAGAGCCAGACCCGGAGCTACAGCTCTCCACGTAGCCCTTGAGAGGCTCCTTCGCCAAGAAACCACCAAATCCTTGGGAAACCATGGCATCACTGTCCTCCTGGACATGAGCACCTTTTACGACACCCTAGATCTCCAACGGCTACAACAAACAGCCCAGGATTTGGACTACCCGCCTCTTGCACTAGAGTTCGCCATGCAGGTTTACACCGGGCACAAGGCCATTTTGGCCGAAGGGGAACTCAGTCCCTGGTTCCATGCCACCACGGGAGTAGCAGCAGGGTGTCCACAAGCACCACTCCTGGCCAAGACCTTTCTCCAGCCCATCCTCGGCAGCTTCCAACGAGCGTTCCCGGAACTCCACCTCAACGGGTGGGTGGATGACATTGGCTTTGATGGCAGCCACACAGATCCCATACAGCTGGCCCACCGAACCATCCAGGCCTGGAACCACCTACGCACAGAGCTCACAGCAGCCGGGTTGATAGTGAACAGCCACAAGACAGCCTTCATTGTCACAGACAAAGTCATCCACAAAGAGCTCGGCAAACTCCTGGGCCCTGATGATCCACCCATCCAGTCCGTGATGCGGGACCTCGGAATCGACCACTCTGCAGGGAGGCGACGACGGATAGCCACCCTACAACAGAGATTCAAAAAGAACAAACAACGCCGGATCAAGCTCAGAAGCCTCAAGCTGCCCAACATGCGCACCAGACTCAGACTCCACAGGGGCGGAGTCCAACCAGTAGCCCTTTGGGGTTTCGAAGGCCAGGGACTTGCCCCCAGGTACCGAATGGCACTACGACAAGGCCTCGCCACACACCTGGGCCTGCACCAAGGGGGACTCACGGACATCATCTATGACCAAAACAGCAAAAAATATGCTGACCCCGGCGACCAGGTCATTCTCCACCACATCAGGGCGCTGCACACCCTGCTCCATCACTGGCCCCCTGATCACCTTCAGCATGTGGAAGCAGCTTGGCTGACCATCCGCAACCACATGCGCACCCAACAGCACCCCTGGTATCAGGTGAAGGGACCCATGGCCGCCACCTTAGCGTACCTCCATGAATGGGGCTGGACCACGGAGTCCTTATACCAATGGAACAGACCTGAGACAGCCTTCATGACCGAAGCCAGCATAAACCTGCATGAGGATTGGGCGACCATCGAACAAACCCTCCACCACGAAGCACAGCAGCAACGGACAAGCAGACTGGCCAGCAAAAAGAACTGCCAAAGCTTAGTCAGTGGGCACGACTGGACTATTGCCAACAAGGCGGTCAAAGTCCTACCGAAACAACAAGCCCAGCACATCAAAACATGGAACCAAGCAGCTATCCACTGCCGCCAAGGGGACAAGCCCAAGCCGTGCCCCCTGTGTGGAGTCCCCGCCACACCCAAACACATCGTCTGGCTGTGCACCTGGCACCACAACCAAGGCCATACGCCGCTTGCCGTGGAATGGACTGAGCGCCTACAAGATCCACTGGAAGAACCACTGTGGGCATATGGGTGGATCCCCAAAGAACCCCAGGACCACCTTCAAGTCGCCCAACCTCTTCAAGGCCATGGGTGCTGGAGCACCCTCGAAGCCCTGCCACTTCAGCCATGGCAAGGACTGTCGGTGACCCTTGACGCCACTCCGTCGTCCTATGATCCCACGTCCCAAGCATGGGTCTTTGGGCTTTGCATCCATACCTTCTCGATGGGAGCCCTCCTTCGCAAAGGCACCATCACCGGCATGGCCCCTGGGCCCCAAACCAAGGCACGGGCCCTGTTCCAGGGCCTTCTAACCTTAGCCCAGCACGTCCTCACGCCGGTGAATGTGGTCGTCCAGCTGGGGTCAGTTTGGGAGGCATGGACAAACCCACGAAAGCGGCCTGGGTTTGAAGATCTCACCAAAGGCATCGAGCACCACGTGTTCCAGCAAATCACACCACTGTACATCCACAAGAACACACGAACACCGGAAGCACCCGGCAATGAACCCCATCTCCGTCGGAGACAACGAGATGCTGCCCTTGCAGCCTACGAACGAGCTTGCACACTCTACGACAAACAGGCGGAGGACTGGCAGAAAACCCTCGACCAGGACCACATGCGCATCTACAAGCAGGCAGCAGCCCGACTGGAGAAGATTTTCAAAGACCCACAGCATTACATCCACGACAAACCAGTCCGCCGAGCGGGACACACCACGAAGCAATACAAAAAACGACTCATCAACCAATGCAAGCTCCCATGGCAGCCAAACAAGCACCAATGGGCCCCTCACAGGAGCGGGTACCAATGCCACACCTGCCACACCAGAGTGCATCAGGGCCTCACGGTCGAAGTCATTGAGCAACACCTCCAGCAGGATTGCCAACTCCTGACCCATGAAGCCCCAGAACCTGACCTCCGGCCAAACAAACCGGTCGGCCAAAGGCACACGAGGGCCAGCACTATCAAGCATCTGCTTGCAGTGCAACAACAGCACCCACAGGCCCCAGATGAGCATACGTATCAGGAGACCACTGGATACCTCAAATGTGTGAAATGCAGCCTGTCCATCCATAAAAGGACCAATGAAGCCAACTTCCGTGACTTCCTCCAAAGTCGCTGCATAGACGAAAGGTATGCCAAAGATCACGAGGCTCACCACACACATGCGCTCTGGCAGAAGGGGAAGGGCATCCGCTGCAACAATTGCGGTACGCAGAGCCACCTCGATGCAGAAGACCGAGTCATTTTGACCAAAGCTCTCAAGAAACCATGCCAGGGCCAAAGCCAAATCTCACCAACCTTGGTGCAGATCTTTTGCAACCAAAGCCAACACAGTCAGGGCAGCAGTCAGGCTACCAAGGCCACCAAAGCTGGCCATGAAACCCAGCCACCATCCCTGGAACGGCCCAACCCTGACGCCCCAGGACTTATGTCCCCGGCAGTACCAAAGAAACTCCGTTTCTCGCCCAGGGGAGACCACTCTGCCCATGAGAGCAGCCCTCATGAACAAGGGGAAGAGGAAGCAGGACAAGATGATCCATGCATGGTCGTCGATTACTTCTGAAGCCCCGGGCCTGACGACCTCCACCTGAGCGCAGCTAACCGTGAGGCAAAAACTGCCTAGGAAGAACCTGGCCAAACGGCCCAAAACTCTGCCACTTTAGAAGAAAAAAAATACATACATACATACATACATACATACATACATACATACA